ACAAAACACCCCAAACCTCCAAAAACAAAAAACCTGTCTGCCATCAGTTGACTCCGACTCCTGGAGATCCCATCCGTTCAGGGTACTTAGGACGGGCTATGGTTTTCTGGGTTGTAATCTAGGGAAGCAGGTAGCGAGACCTTTCTCTGTGACACTGTGTGGGTTTGACTGGGCAACTGCTAGGTCAGCAGTCAGGCAAACCATTTATGTCACCCAGGGACCTCATAGTTCTGTTAAACTAATTGAAGATCATAGTTACATTAGTTACTGAGTTTTTTTTAAAAAATTTGTTACGTTTTATATTCTCAATCACTGCCATCAGTTGATTTTGACTAATTGTAACCCCACAGGACTGTCCCATGTGGGTTTCTGAGGCTGTAGATAGTGATTTTTAAGTTATACATGTACACTGATCCTAAATAGTCTTGATATTGTGTAATACCTTAGTGCTTAGGATCAATCTATACAACTTAAAAGACCACTTACAAATGATTGTTCATTTTTACCGCATAAACAGAGAATCATTTGCTGGTGTTTATTAAGGGCATTGACTCAAACTTAAGTGGAGAAACCGAACCTATTGATTGCCAAGTAGATTCCTGCTCATGGTGACCCCATAGAACAGAGTAGACCTGATTCTTAGGCTGGTAATCTTCCTGCGAGCAGACAGCCTCGCCTTTCCCCTGCCTTGTGGTCCCTGGGCTCAAACCTCTGACCCTGTATTTAGGAGCCCATTGCACAACCAGAACTCCTTTTGAGAAACAGAAAAAAAAAGCCTAAATTGAAATGGGATCTGTTGGCTTGGTCTTCTTTTCAAGATTCCAGCCTTTGAAGGAGCCATTATCTATGTGAAGTAAGATAAAACAGTCAACCAATGCCCACTCTGTGTTATTTAGGAGCCCTAGTGGTTTACTGGTTACACGTTGGGTGGCAGTCTGCGTGGTTGGCAGTCGGAAACCACCAGCAGCTCCTCGGGAGAAAGACGGGGCTTTCTGCTCCCATAAACAGTGACAGTCTTGGAAACCCACAGAGGGCCTCTGTGAGTCAGCATTGACTCGATGGCCGTGAGTTTGCGTCTGGTTTTATTTTTTATTTAAATGACTGAATAGGATTCTTCCAAAGCTTCCCTTTACTCTACTTTTCTGCACACTTTTGTGTTTCATTTTCCTTTAGAACCTATGTTACATGGACAACTACAACATGTTCTTATTGGTCCTAAATTTCTGCATATAACAGAGAAGCAGTTTTTATCATTTTGTAGAAATTAAACAGTGCTACAGGGAGAGAAAACTAATCTTAATAAAGCATTACATTAGAAAAGTCACTTTAAGGCAAATTATTATTTTTTATCACTTTATTGGGGGCTCGTACAGCTTTTATCACAATCCATACATCCATCCATTGTGTCAAGCACATTTGTAATATGTTGCCATCATCATTTTCCAAATAGTTTCTTTCTACTTGAACCCTTGATATCAGCTCTTCATTTTTCCTCTTCCCTCCCCCATCCCTTCCTCCCTCATGAACCCTTGATAATTTATAAATTTTTTTTTTCATGTCTTACACTGACCGATGTCTCCCTTCACCCAGTTTTCTGTTACCCGTCCCCCTGGTAGGGGTTATATGTAGATCATTGGGATCAGTTCCCCCTTCCTCCCCCCATCTTTCTCTTCCCCTCCAGGTAGCTCATTATTGGTCCTAGGCAAATTATTTTTATGGTGCCAAACATCTGTTACCGTTTGCACCTAAGCAGAAAGCCTCATAACAAGGATCCAAGATTTTGAAAATCAAAATAAGATAAATAAATGCTCCATGAGGATCAGAAACCAAGCCAAACTCACTGCCATCTAGTTGATGCCAACTCATAGCGACCTGTGAGAAACAGTCGATCGAAATACAGATGCGAAATAGAACCAATCCGAGGAGACTGCTAAACTACTCATAGGGTTGATGCTAACTAGTGCTTTGTTTTGTCTGATTTCCATGTGATTTTTAGTCACAGAGCCCACTATGTCAGGGGATTCTGGGAGCTTTGAGAGACTGTCATGGGTAGACATAGCCCTTGAAGCCTTAGCATCACTCAAGAGTCATGCCATCAGGGCAAAAATTAGTCATGACAGTAGTTTCTGGGTAGTGCAAGTGATTAATACCCTTGTATCTACCAAGAAGTACTGAGGAAGAAAGGTCTGGCAATTCATTTCCAAAAAGTCAGCCATCGAAAAACCTATGGAATCCAGATTTACTTGGACACACATGAGGTTTCCATGAGTCAAGATTTGCACTTGGTTTTTTAAAAAAAGTAATTGTGATCCTGGAGAACTCTTGAAACAGCTACTTTATTAAGCCTTTATAAGGGGGCTTTAGAAAATGTGTTGAAAAGTGGAATTAAAAGATGATGGAATTGTTCCATTAACTTTTTGAAAGCCCCTTGAATTTTTTTTTGTAATCTCCTTTTCATTTATTAGGCGTTGGGGTGCAAATGGTTAAGCACTGAGCTGCTAACTTCAAGGTTGGTGGTTCACATCCACCAGAGGTGCGTTGGAAAAAAGGTCTGGTGATCCACTCTCAAGGTCACAGCTATTGAAAACACAGCTGTGGCACACAGTTCTGCTCTGAGGCACATGAGGTTGCCATGAGTCAGAGTGGACTTGATAGCAGTGGGGATTTGTTGTTAACGATGAGACTGTCTGTATGTGTATGAAGGTATCTGAATTTGGGAAAATGCCGAGTCTCAGGTTTATGGGATTGGGGAGCTAGAATGCCTTGGTTTTACACTTATGTTCAGTGAAGTCCAGTAGGTTAAAGATAATTGGTATTCACCTAGAGCAAAAGAGGAAAGAGAGTCAAGACTAGGAGTAGCCTATGGAATGTGTGCCAGATTGCCTTCATGAACAGGAGACCAGAAGACCTGGATGGTGCCCTGCTGCCATTACTGACTATTTTGATCAAATATTCAATAGAATTCCTGTCAATCCCGGGGAAATACAGAAGTTCACTTTAGCGAAGACTCCAGAGTTCCTGGAATCTTGAAAGTTGGATGAATCCCTGAACGTATTGCCCTGAGAAAATCTTTAAAACTTTGAACAAAAATATCTACTGATGTCCTCTCAAAACAAAGCAATAGTTTAACTTAATGTGTAAAAGTGTCTTCCTTGATTCGTGTGCTCTTTTAAGAACAAACTAGGTGGGATCAGATTGACTCCAGCAACGGGAAAGATTTGACAGGATGCTTAGAGGGCTGTGAATTTGTGAGCCGAGAGGACAAACTCAGGAAAAAATGGCTTCCCAACTCAAAGAACGTACTCAATGTCCTTAAATGGCACACATCGAAGCTTTTCAATTATTTTAGGCTTAGTTTTATTTTTTAATAAAAAATTTAATATATTTCTTTTTCTTTGGACATAATACAAATATGCAAATCAACAGTACAATCCGTATCACAACTCTTGTAGGTTTTTCTGTGTATATTCTCAATCCCAACAACAAAATAAAATAAAACCGTATATGCAGGGTCTGTCATATGTGAACTTCATTCTGCAGAGCACACAGTTTACTGGCAAAAGTTTAGCTATTCGTATTTGTGAGTTTTCCCCGTGCATTAGGTTGCCAGTGAATTCCTTAAGAGATTAATTTTATCCTTATTTTGATTTTTTACAGGATGTTCATAAGAATGGAAGCACTGTTTCCTTGCCAGATTCCTTATTGCTGTAGTTCATGAACCTTCTGAATCTTGGGGAAGAGCCTGCATTGAATGATGATAAACCTGTCACCAGCCTAAGGAGTCTGAGGGAAAAACAAAAAGAGTAAAAGAAGCATTTAAATTTCTCTTCAACAAGAAAGTCATTTCCATCAACCATTCCTGCCGCATTTTTTCCGAGATGAACCGATATACAACCATGAGGCAGTTGGGGGACGGCACCTATGGCAGTGTGCTTATGGGCAAGAGCAACGAGTCGGGGGAGCTGGTGGCCATCAAGAGGTACCGTGTGCAGCAGGGCGAGGCTTACCCACAAAGCGTTCACCTTGATTGTCCCTTGCTTGGTTGAGAGTTGACAGGGGCACAGGGAGGCCAGCTTGGCTAATGTAGAATGTCCTTCTGCAGAACACATGGCCCCCAGAGGATGTCTGCTGATCTTTGTGGATTATTATTTTAGTGCTTTGGTTTGTCCATCGACCTCGATAAACCAGAAATTACACGTGCTCTGTTTTTTATGCACAATACATATGGCCTGACACTGAGCTGGGAGAGCTTGGGATAGTGTTAGAATTTAAGTTTGCACTTTCAGAGTTGAGCTTCTTATTTCTTTAAGACAATAAGGCCTCAAATCAGATGATCTTCAGAGCATCAAACTGAATTCTGAGTGGCATATCGTGTTTTCCAGGCCTTGCCAATTAAGTAGAACAATAATTGCTGGTTTTAGACCAACTGCCTTCTCTATTGCTGCATAACAGATTACCTCCAAACGTTGTGACTTGAATCAGGACCAAACTCATTCACTCACACAGTTTCTGTGAGTCGGGATTCAGATGTGGTTTTGCTGGAGGGTTCTGGTTCAGAATTGTTTAGCAGGACAGTTGATGTGGTGAAATACTGTTGTAGAACGATCCCTTCGGCAAAAGAGTAGTGACTTAGGAATGGACACAGGATGACCTTGGTTAGAGGTGGTGGTGGCCGCATTTAGGGAAATAGCACTGGGGACGGGCACAGTACCCTCACTGAAGGGATAGGTAGGAGGTGGATGCTATAGGACCTGGTGGCTGGGCATAAACAAACAACTCAACTCACTGCCATCAGGTCAATGCCGACGCATTGCATCCCTATAGGACAGGGTGGAACTGTCCCTGTGATTTAAAATTTTTAAAAATTAGGACAAGTCCAGCCTACCTCGGGAGATGTGGGCATGAGGGGGCAGAGGTGGTTCTGTGACAGGGAAGGGAAAAGCCTAGGCTTAGGGATTAGGAACTGGAGCTCCATTTTGGGCATAGTGACTACATTGCCTATATTTAAAAACAACCCCACTGCTATCGAGTCGAGTCCAACTTATAGAAACCTTGTAGAGGGATTCCGATGCTGAAAATCTTACCAGGAGCATTCTGTCTCATGTTTTCCCCACTGTGGGACTGTTGGGTTTGAACTGCCGGCCAGGCTGGTAGCAGCCCAGCCGTTAGAGAGACTTGAGTGAATGTCCTACAAGCAACTGAGTCTTTGCTCCACACAGAGAGCCCTAGGATGCAAAGGATGAGCCCTGAAACAGCCCTGAGAAGGAGCCACTAGTGAAAGAGGTGCACCGTGGAGAGTATTAAAAAGATTTGAATCCAAGGAAAATATCTTTTTTTTCTTTTTTTGGGGGGGTGTCTTTATATTATTATTATTATATTTAAATCATTTTATTAGGGGCTCATACAACTCTTATCACAATCCATACACACATCAATTGTGTAAAGACACATCAATTGTGTAAAGCGCATTTGTACATTCATTGCCCTCATCATTCTCAAAACATTTTCTCTCTATTTAAACCCCTGGCATTAGGTCCTCATTTTTCCCCTCCCTCCCCGCTCCCCCTTCCCTCATGAGCCCGTGATAGTTTATAAATTGTTATTTTGTCATATCTTGCCCTGTCCGAAGTCTCCCTTCACCCACTTTTCTGTTGTCCGTCCCCCAGGGAGGAGGTCACATAAAGTTCCTTGTAATTGGTTCCCTCTTTCCTACCCACTCTCCCTCTACCCTCCCTTTTCGCCACTCACACCACTGGTCCTGTAATACTTCATTGAGGAGCCCTGGTTGGGCTGCTAACTGCAAGGTCAGCGGTTTGAACCCACCAGCCACTCTGCTGGAGAAAGAGGAGGCTTTCTGCTCCTGTTATGATTTGTAATCTCAGAAACCCTAGGGAGCAGTGACGCTCTGTTCGTAGAGTCTCTGTGAATCAGGATTGACTCAGTGACAATGAGTTTGGTTGTGGTTTAATTCTTTACATATTTCCAAAGAGTATTAGACTCTTTGCAGAGGCTCTGGACTGCAGGAATTACTCTAATTAATAAAGGTAATTAAGTTTTCTAGAATCTTCTAGAGCATCTTAAAAGAGATTATAACACTATAGGAAAGCAATAGAGTATATATATTTTATTTTGCATAATTCGAGTTTGTAATTCCCATACCTGAAGAAACATTTTTAAGAATGTGAGTCGTGTTTTTTCTTGTCTCATAGTTCATGTGGTACCTAGAAACCTGTTCGTATGAAAATGCAGCCCCTAGCTGGTGGAGGAGTCCCGGGGTTAAGTGCTTGGCTGCTAATGAAGAGTGGCAGTTTAGCCCTCGCGCTGTCTGCGGGAGAAAGATGTGGTGGTCTGCTTCCATAAAGTTTGCAGCCTTGGAAACCCTGGGCAGTTCCACTCTTTCTATGGAGTCATCACAATTGGAAGTCTGTTGGTGTAGTGGTTACCAGTGGAGTTGGGCTGCTGACTGCAGGGTCAGCAGTTCCAAGCCACCAACTACCACTCCGTGGTAGAAAGATGAGTCTGTCAACTCTTATAAAGATTTACAGTCACAAGAAATTTCGAGGGCATTTCTGCTCCGTTGTAGGGTCAGTGTGAATCAGAGTCAATTTGATAGCAGTGGGTTTGATTTTTCACTACTGTGGTATGTACTCGTATCATGGAATTGCCTTATCTATGAAATAAATACATTTTTTTATTTATTATTCTCTGATGGTAACCACCATTGGATGGTGAAGAGAGAGTAAAGAACAACACAGAAGAAAGATGTTGCGAAAATTTGGTTACTTTTGCATTTTTCTGTCAAATCACTTAATTGATGAACCTCTTATTTAAAACTGAGATAATGGGTTGTCAAATAAATCATTCAATGAAATTGGCTGTCAAAACTTGTGATTTCCTCACCCATTTTTAATGGAAGGACAATGTTCCATTTTTAGCTTGCAGGTACCAGAAAGAGAGAGTTTTGGGAGGGGCTCAGAAAAGGACGACTGGGCTGATTAAAGAAATGTAAGAACTTGCCCCAAAAGGAAGGTTAATAGTAATTCTTTCTCTTTGGGGTCAAACAGAATTTCAGTTACCACATTGACTGCCAAGAAGAGCCTGAAGATAAACCGAAGGATTTTCTTTTGATGAAGAAAACTCACTGCCCTAGAGTTGCTTCAAACTCATAGCAACCTTATAGAACAGGGAAAACCGCCCCTGTGGGTTTCTGAGACTGTAACTCTTTACAGGAGTAGAAAGCCTTATCGTTCTCCCACAGAGCGGCTGGTAGTTTCAAACTTCTGACCTTGTGATTAGTAGTAGCCCATTGAGTAACCACTACACCAGGAAACGGAAATACCCTCCCTTACCCAGATGAAAATAGCAGTAGAGTAAGAAAATCAATGTGCGATGTATGTCTTTGAATCCTCAGTCCATGAACACTAAACTTTTTTCTTTTAAATTTGCTTCAGGATGAAGAGAAAGTTCTACTCTTGGGATGAGTGTATGAACCTAAGAGAAGTTAAGGTAAAATCCTAAAGGTGAAAAGCACCTGCGACGGTCTTTGCTGCCTATCTCACAATGATCTCATTTCGAAGGAGGGCAATCAAGGAGATAATTCTGTTTGCTGGTGGCAAAATGTACTGTGTGCAGTTTGAAACAACCAGCCGCTCCCTGGGAAAAAGATGAAGTTTTCTGCTCCTAAAAAGATTTCCAATCTTGGAAACCCACAAGGGCAATTCTACTCTGTCCTATAGGCTCGCTGTGTGTCAGATTCGACTTGCTGGCAGTGAGTGAGTTTGAGTGGGTAGCATTCCAAAGATAATGATGTTTATGTTTTCCGAATTAATTTTCTTATATATTTAAACCCTTTAGATAATTATTTACAAAGTAGAGCATCAGTTTTACATTCAACAATTCACACACATTTTGTTTCAACGCATCCATTTAATTAATTTATTTATTCTATATTGTGAAACATTTCTTTAAAAAATTTTTAAATTTAATTAATTAATTTTATTATTATTTTTAATCATTTTATTAGGGGTACATAAAACTCTTATCACAATCCATACATACATCAGTTGTATAAAGCACATTTGTACATTCATTGCTCTCAACTTCAAAACATTTGCTCTCCATATAAGCTCCTGGCATCAGCTCCTCATTTTTCCCTCTCCCTCCCCACTCCCCTCCCTCATGAATCCTTGATAATTTATAAATTATTATTTGTCATATTGTGCACTGTCCGATGTCTCCCTTCACCCACTTTTCTGTTGTCCGTCCCCCAGGGAGGAGGTTATATGTAGATCCTTGTAATCAGTTCCCCCTTTGCAACCCACCCTCCATTCACCCTCCCGGTATCGCCACTCACTGGTTCCTGAAGGGATCATCCACCCTGGGTTCCCTGGGTTTCCAGTTCCTATCTTTACCAGTGTACATCCCCTGGTCTAGCCAGATTTGTAAGGTAGAATTGGGATCATGATAGTGGGGGGAGGAAGCATTTAGGAACTAGAGGAAAGTTGTATGTTTCATCTTTGCTACACTGCACTCTGACTGGATTCTCTCCTCCCTGTGACCCTGTAAGGGGATGTCCAATTGCCTACAGATGGGCTTTGGGTCTCCACTCCACACTCCCCCTTATTCACAATGATATGATTTTTTGTTCTTTGATGCCTGATACCTGATCCCTTGGACATCTCGTGATCATGCAGGCTGGTGTGATTCTTCCATGTGAGCTTTGTTTCTTCTGAGCTAGATGGCCGCTTGTTTACCTTCAAGCCTTTAAGACCCCAGATGCTATATCTTTTGATAGCCGGGCACCATCAGCTTTCTTCACCACATTTGCTTATACACCCACTTTGTCTTCAGTGATCGTGTCAGGCAGGTGAGTATCATGGAATGCCAGTTTAATAGAACACCGTATTCTTGCATTGAGGGAGTACTTGCCAACTCATCCATTTTAATCTCCTAAATCTCACTTCCTCCCAATTTTCTAAAGTAATTTTAGCTCAAAACAGCATGATATCATCAAAGGAAAGGTAATATTTGAAATTGTTATTGTTGATATGTGCTGTCAAGTTGATTCTGACTCTTACCCTGTAAGGCAGAGTGGAATTGTCTCACAGGGTTTCCAAGGCTTTAATATTTACAGAAGCAGAAAGTTTCAACTTTCTCAAGTGGCTGGTGAGTTCGAACCACTGACCCTTTATTGGCATTCAAATGCTTAACCGCTGCCCCAAGAGGGCATTTGTTTATAAGTGGCTCTATGCCATTTGGGAAGAAAGATGAGGCTTCTTACTCCATAAAGACTTACAGTCCCTGAAACCCACAGGGACAGTTCTACGTTGTCCTTTGGGGTCGATGTGAGTTGGAATTGACTCGGTGGCAGTGGGTGAGTGATATGCCATTTATGTATGTTTTATACTGTATGATGTGGAGAGATTTTTGGAGGCTTTTGCATGGAATTTTACATGATTCTGTCAGAAAAATACAAGTTGAATTGACAAAAGTGTGTGTTATATTTAAACCAATGACCCTCCCGCTCCCACCACCACCAGAAAAAGAGTAGCTGCAAAGGCTCCCTATGTACAATCAAATAGCTCAGGAGTTTTGGTTCCTTGGTTTAACATCATGGTTTCACGAGGCATCCCAGATAGTTGGCCTAATCCTGTGTTTGGTATTTCTGTCCTACCACCTAGTTTGTTGTATAGTGCCTGGGGTCTTAAAAACTTATAAGCAGCTATCGAAGGCACAGTTAGTTTCTGTACACTACGCAACAGAGGAAAGAGTCAGGGATAGAAGGAAAAAATAGATTGTGCGACTAATTGTTTCCATGAGATCTGAAAAAAACCTATGATACCCACTTCGTACCACTGAACATTTTAATAAAGTATTTTATAGAATTATTTAATCAAAGAGGAGAAATAACAGGACATAATTTTTTTTAAAATCTCATGGAATCCAGCCTTTCTGGAACTATGAAGGGTGGCATGAACCCATAAAACTTTTGCCCTAAGATAATCTTTAAGTTGAATAATTTGACTACTATATGTCTTGATATGCTTTGGTGGGGTTTAATCTATTTGATGTTTCTCTGCTTCCTGCATAGTTATCGCCTCCTCCTTTGTAGTATTGGGGGAATTTTCTTCCATGAATCCCTCACTGTTTTAACTGTAGATTTATTTGCTCTTCCTGCTCTGGCACACCAATCATTAGAATGTCGTTTTCCTCCATGGCATGCCGCATCCTCCTCAGGCTTTCTTCAGATGATTTTGCTTTTTTGTTTGATTGTTTCTCTAGTTGGCTGTGGTCTCCTTGGTTGTCTTCAAGTTCAGGGATTTGATTTTCTTCCATTCTGTTGCTCAGATCTTGTACTGTTTTGTATTTCTTCTAACTCATTACTAAATATCCTTTGGGTGTGAGGTTTTTAGTATCTCCATTTATTCTTTTGTTTTCTGGATTGATCCCCTGATCTCTTGTAGGGCTGTAAGCACCATTCTCTTGTATCCTTTTTCGTGGTCGCACTGTAGATGATGAGTAGGCTTCTGAGTTGTGTGGGATCAGATGGGAGCTGGAAATCATACTGTGTGGACATGAGGAGGGAGCGATAGTTGGGTGGGTAGGAGGAATAGGAGATAGGTGCTCTAGAGTAGGTTTAAGTGGTGGTGTTAATCATAGGAAGCCTTCCTGTTAACTATAGTAATTTTTGATGAGTTAGAAGAGAGGCTTTAAGAGGTATGTTATTACTTGGTGGGTTATGAGAGTGTGGGTTACTGAAGTGGGGGAGCGAGGTCTTGAGGTAATGGTGTTTGGGGTAGGTGAGGGGTATATTAAATCTACCTCACTTATCGACCCTGTATAATATATAGGGAGAGTATAGCCAGTCTGTTACTGAGTTTGGAGCAGAAGGCCCTTCTTTCAGTGGGCACCTATTCTCCAGGAGGGACAGTCCCCTGTTATATTGTGGAGCAGCACAGTCCATTCTTCACGCCAGCATCCCAGGGGGGAAATGGGCTATTGGAGTGAGGCCCAAGGAGGGAAGCTCCCAGAGCGTTCAAGTTGTGTTCCTATCTTACCGGGGTGGTGGTTGGTGGGGGTGGATTCCCGTTTGAGTTAGCTGGGAGTTCCTATCTGGCTGCCGTGAGAGCTGTGCCCTTGCAAAGAGGTGGGGAGAGGGCATCAGTAAGGCAGTAAAACTATGAAAGCTCTGGTTTGCAGGCCCAGCCTCCAGGGCTCCCAGTAGTCTTTGAGGGCATGGGACCCCAGGCTCTACTTGGGGTTGGTCTGACTTGGGATGAGAGAGGAGGCTGACACCCCCCAGCCCACTGGGCCCACTGAGCTGAGGGAGAAAGGAGACCTCAGCAAACTACTGTGTTCTCTGGGCAAAAATCAGAGAGAGTGGTCTAAAATATTCCCAGAGTGCTGAGAATCCAGGTCCTGTGAAAATTCTCAGAATTGGCCTTCTCACCACACCAGGGGAGTTCCAGACAGGGGATTCTATCTTGGTGCCATCTTCCCATGTCCTTCCCCTCCAATGATCTTTAAACCTTAAGCCAAAAATACCATCTAAAGACCATAGATTCAGCTTAAAACCAAACACCAGTATAACACCCCAAGAGATCTGCCTTAATCATAATACTGTTTTTAAAACAAGTTTTATTGATATATAATTCATGTGCCATATAATTCAGTGGCTTAAATATATTTAAAAGAGTTGTACAATTAGTTTTAGAACATTTTCTTTATTCTTGTTCCCGTTGTTATTAGCTCCCTATTCTCCCCCAGCCTCTTCTGCCATAACCCTAAGGAGTTATTGAATTACTGTCTCTCTGAATTACCTACCCTGGATTTCAAGTAAAGAAAGTTATACAAAAACCCCAGTGACAACAACAAAATAAATCACAGAGAAAACCTCAAATACAAAAGAAAGCTGAAAACAATAGAAACTAGAACAAATTGAAAATGGATCAAAAAGGAAAAGAAATAATACTATATTAAATTTTAACTTAACTATTATCTCCAGTGATCCACTTTCAAGTACACTATGTCTGAGCACAAGGTGATTCAATCCATAGTCAGTGGTTCTGAGGGAGTTCAGTGGAGGCTCAATCTGAATTGGGTCTCTGCATATCCACTGATATCCACTGTCTTCTGCAAACCGAGCACTCAGAATGTAAGTTCTGAGTTCTGATCTTGGATTTTATTTTGTACAATCCTTAGATCACATGGACTGGTGTACTCATTTGTGGAGAACTTAATACTCTTTTAAGAATTATTTTGGGGCATGAGATTGGCAATAACAACTGGAAAGGATAGGAATTTTAGAAGGCAGTGAGTTTATGCTAACTGGTGGAAACAACTCAGGAAAGGAGGATGAGAATGGTTGTGTAACGTGAAGAATGCATTCTGCGTGATTGAAGTATACTTGTAGAAACTTGGTGTGTGTTTTTCCTGTGTACATTTGTTGTATTGGGCGTAATCAATCCACACCACTTATCAATAATTAAGCCTTCATTAACAGTTGGTTCAAGAGGGGGCTATCACCCTGAAAAAACATAGTTACAGTTTTATAGTTTTAGGGGTTTTATCTTTAAGGTAGAGGACTGGCTTAAAGGGCAGGGAAACATGCAGGCAGTTACAGTTTTACTTATTAGGTAGGCAGGATACTGGGAGGGTGGAGGGGGTGCTAGAGAGAACAACAGCTTCAGGTGATAACTCAGAGTCTGACAGGATAGTTTCTATTTTTTGCTAATTGGGCAGGTCCAGAGTTATCTCCAGAGTGGCAAGGTTTTTCAGAAGATAGGGAAGGGGAAGGCAAGGGTAGGGAAAAGCTAGCTGCTAGCAGGGGATTGGAAACAGATGAAAACAAAATGGAGGGAACTGATTACAAGGATCTACATGTGACCTCCTCCCTGGGGGATGGACAACAGAAAAGTGGGTGAAGGGAGACGTCGGACAGGGAAAGTTATGACAAAATAATAATTTATAAATTATCAAGGGCTCATGAGGGAGGGGAAGCGGGGAGGGAGGGGAAAATGAGGACCTAATGCCGGGTGCTTAAGTGGAGAGCAAATGTTTTGAGAATGATGAGGACAATGAATGTACAAATGTGCTTTACACAATTGATGTATGTATGGATTGTGATAAGAGTTGTATGAGCCCCTAATAAAACGATTATTAAAAAAAAAAGAAAATGGAGTTTTCCATGCTGAACCTTGGTTATTACACTCTCAGGGGAACAAAAAGAAATAAGATAATTTTTTTTTTAAGTGAAAGGTTAAAAAAATAGTTACAGCTTACTTTAGGTATTCTGATATATTTTAATTATGTAGATATTAAAATGTAACTTATTAACAAATCCAGAAGAAAAAGGTACAGTCATTATTATAAATAGCATTAATGAGATTTTGCTAATTTTTTTAACCTTGCTGTAAGAATTTAATACTTATTTGCTGTATTTCAGTCTCTGAAGAAGCTTAATCATGCCAATGTGATTAAACTGAAAGAAGTTATCAGAGAAAATGACCATCTTTATTTTATATTTGAATATATGAAAGAAAATCTCTATCAATTAATGAAAGACAGGTATGCCCATATTTTGTGAACACACAGTTTTTTCTATTACTTCTTCCATGATTCCTTGATATTGTCAATATACTGTACTTTAACAATATCTAGATTTAATATTGCAAGAGATAAATTTAAATCAACTAGTTCTCCTACCTTTTTCAAAGAATAACATCTGACACTGAGAACCAGCTGCATACACAGGTGCTTTTTGTTGTTGTTTTCTTAATTTCTTAAAAGTTAAGATAGACTTTTGTGCAAACATTACTGTATAGCTATGATTTTTAAATGAATTCATCTATAGTTCAATGCTGTGTAATAAAGTTGGCCTTGGGCAAATTGAGTAAAATATCTTCATTGCCCTCACAAGCATCTTGTGACATTCCAATGAAAGAGGGAAAAACTGAATGAAGTAACTTTTGAGAGAAGCTCTAATAAACTCATTCATCAAAACACATAAACAGTGATGAGACTTAATACACCAATGCCAAGGAAATTCCGAGTTTAACTTTTTAAACATAAGAACAGAATCTCTAACGAGGTCTTGAGTCACTCCCTGTGGGCTGAGGGGAAAATGCTGTTCTGGTGGTAGCTACGTGTCACACCTTGGAGATAAATAGCTACTTACCCGCTATGAATACCAGCATTGTTTAGCAAAAGCCTGTAAAATAATTTAGAAGTAAAAAAATATATATACTTTAGAAGTAAGTTAACTTTTGAGTGTAATAGCATTGATTTCTCTCTCACATTTTTTAATTAAAAAACACATATAATCAGTGTTTTTTAATTAAAGTTTTTTTCAGTCATGTTATTTCCTTTTTCAGAAAATGTTTTTGAATGCCTATTATTCTCCAGATAGATACTATACCATTAATAATAGCCAAAATAAAAGAAAATTTCTTTTTTAGCATTTTTTATTGTAAATTAGGCAGGGGGTTATGTTATATCAACTTTGTAGCCAACAGTTTAGACTACTAACCAAACCCAACATTAGTTTACCCTTTACATGCTCCAGTGAAAGAAATTTTCTTATTGCTAAAATCAGTTTTCATTCTTTTACATTTCTTTTCTAGCTCTCTTAGGTGGGTACATATGCATTTAGCTTAGTTATAATTTTAATAGTAGTAAAATATTTTATTTGATTAATTGACTTTGAAGTGCTTTTTCCATGATAAACAGGCTTCAGCAGATACTGTATTTTCCTGTTCTGTTAAATGGTTATACCAAAGTGTACATACTTACTAACTTACAAATTCTCAAATTCTAGTGGTAGAATAAGTTGATAATTACAGTACGGAATATTGATTAATTGAACAGTCATTAAAGGTGATAAAGATTATGAAATACATTTTCAGTTATTCATGACCTTCAGTATTTTTAACTTTTTCTTGTGAACGAGATGAAGTCTACAAAGCAGAGTGTAGTTTCCCATGTAATGTGTTACGTACTCCTGATTCAGCGTGTCCATTGCGATACTCTCTGTGTGCCCTCGCTTGCCCCTGTGTCTTTGGTGCCCGTTCTTCCTTCTTCCCACCCCTCCGAACCTTGTCCTTAGGTATATGCTGCCATTTTCGGTTTTAAATGGTTCATTATTCCTGACACAGAAGTAAGTTCAATTCCACATCTGAAAGGCAAAGGCTAGAGTGTTGGGGTCCCACCAGGCTCTATCCAACTCGTAAACCTGGTCTCTGCTCTGATTTTGAATTCTGTTGCACATTTACCCCACTCTCTGCAGGACCTTCTAAAGTGATCCTCTTAAGAGCAATTGGTAGTGGTGGGCAGGCACCCTCTAGTTCTTCTGGTCTCAGGGTTGGGGAGACAAATGTTTGTGTGGCCCATTAGTCCATTGGACTAATTATTTCCATTGTGTATTTCAGTTTTTGTCATTCTTCTCACCTCCGGACAATGAGAGACCGATAGTTGTCACCTTCAATGGTGCTCATCAGAGTAGCATGTAGAACATTTTCTTTGTGGTGTATGTTATGCCAGCTGACCCTGGTGTTCCCCAAGACCCTGGTCCTGATCCCCCAGGCTCAGTAACTAGTTTTCCCAGTTATACATAAGAAGGTTAAGATTAGGAAAATACTTTTATTTTTTTAAATCATTTTATTGGAGCTGTACAGCTCTTATCACAATCCATACGTCCATCCATTGTGTCAAGCACATTTGTACATATGTTGCCATCATCATTCTCAAAGCATTTTCTTTCTACTTGACTCCTTGATATCAGCTTCTCAATTTTTGCCTCCCTTCCCCACTATCCCTCCCTCATGATGAAAATACTTTTAAATGGATAAAAAAACAAACCAAAATTATATATATGAAGGAGATTTTTTTAATTCATGGAAAAAACCTGTGTCTTTCAATTTTGTTTCCATGAACTTTCTGAAGCCCTGCCATAGATAACTTTGATAGCAAATATGACAGTTATATATGAAATTATTATGACTAGATTAGAATACTGAATAAATGAACATAGTATTTTAAAGTGTTACAATTGTGGAGATAGTCTTCTCAGCCTCTATAATGATATATGGACTTACATTGAGATATACTTGAAGGAAGAACTAAAGATGTAAGTACATGAAATATGCTTATCCAGTTTTTATAAAATATATAAGCTGACAGATGGTTAGTGGGATAGCAAAACAATTAAAAAATCAACTTCTCAATTTTATCATTTAATTCAGGATCACTAAATTAAATGGGAGTAAAAGTGATAATTATTATTTAGAATAGTACTCAGGGTCAAAGACATATATTTGACCATTGTTAGTAGTCCATGATGGAGGGTTACTTGAGGTTAGTGGCGTTCTTGCATTCTGTTTGCCGTAGTTTAATTTTCTGAATATTGTGTAGAATGTGAAAATTGATCTGAAAGCCCCTTATTCAGTGAAACTTCCTTTCAGTTTCAGTTGAACATTATACACAAACCTCTGCTCTGATGCTATCAATACATCTTAAGCTCATAACATTTATTAAAATTTAGTTACTGCCAAGGATAAAGATTTTGTTTACTTTGAAATGTCCTGCTTATGAATGAGTTTTAGACATTTCAATAGTATATGATCATTACTCTTTCAAATTTGAGATGAGCGTAATGTTTATCTTTCTCTGTTGTATCTTTCCAACCTTATGGAATGGTGGGACTTTTTAGCACATAATATAAGCAGATATTATCGTTAACACTATAAGGTTGAATAATAGGCTGTTGGCTCTAAAAATGGATCCAAATCATTCATGATGATAGAAAATCTTAGAAAAAAATTGACATTTAGTGCCTTAGAAGCTTCAAATAATGATACCTTTATAGTACGACCCCAGGGTCAAAGAATTAGATGTGGATTGCTTACATTTGCAGCATAGCAATAATTAATAAAGAGTTGTTCTGTCCAGAGCTGTAGCTTCCAAGTCACTTGTGGCTTTTGAGTTATTGAAATGTAGCTTGTCTAAATTGGGCTATACTATTCATCTAAAGATTTTAAAAACTTGATCCTAAAAATAGTTCAGTAATATTTAATAAAACACATTGTTCCTTTCATCTGTGTCTTTTTGCATTTTTTAATTGTAGCTAGCTACTACACTCATTTGTGGCTCATACTATATTTCTGTTTGACAGAACTGAGGTAGTTAAGTACCCCCAAACCCTTCAACCTACATGAATACAAATTTGCACACTTGGCTTTATTTGATAGTTAATCTGCTTTCTAATTTATTTTGCTTATATGGGTAGGTTCTATTTTAACTTGAATAGTTGTGCACGGTATGCCATGTTGAATTTGAGTTTTTACCAAGCATTGAAATATATATCTCTGAAATGTCTGTGTTTTAAAATCATGAACTTATCACTTTAAACCTTAACCTCAGACCTGTGGCTTGAGAGAATTTCATGACTATTTGTTCATTTCTTCACAGAAACAAACTGTTCCCTGAATCAGTCATCAGAAATATTATGTATCAAATATTGCAAGGCCTGGCTTTTATTCATAAACATGGTATGTTTCTTTAGAGACTCATTTCGCTTTTAACACTCATTTCTTTAAGACAGTATCCAATCGTGTTATATTGGATAACTACAAGTATGGAAGATGCCTGTGAGTGGCACAAATGGTTAAGTGCTGGCCTACTAGCTAAAAGGTTGGTGGTTTGAACACTTCCAGAGATACCTTGGAAGTCCAGTGTGGTAAAAACCCCATGGAACCCAGCTCAACTCTGCACGCACTGGTTACCCAGCAGGATTGACTCCAGAGCAACTAGCAGCACATTTGGAGTATGTGCCTACACACGCTCACTAGAAATGTAGAGTTTCTGCTCTTGGGAGAAACGATTTTGCTCTACAGTAGAAATTTTGAATGGTTTGCTTTTTAGCCTTTAGTTTCAACCATCGTACACCGATCCTGCAACCTCAATCCTTCCAGTTTTATCATGGAAGTGGGATAAAAAAGATAGAGTATGGGGGACTTTGGGAAAGAATGGAATCCTTTGATGCACCATGACCAAGTATTACTACTTTAAAGGATCTATGGCAGTGTTTCGAAACCTTTCTAATGCCGCGACCCTTTAATATAGTTCCTCATGTTGTGGTGACCCCCAACCATATAATTATGTTTGTTGCTACTTCATAACTGTTATTTTGCTACTGTTATGAATTGTCATGTAAATATCTGATAATGCAGGATGTATTTTCATTGTTACAAATTGAGCATAATTAAACATAAAGCATAGTGATTAATCACAAACAATATGTAATTATATATTGTGAAATGTTTATGTGTTTTCCTATGGTCTTAGGCGACTCCTGTGAAAGGGTTGTTCGACCCCCAAAGGGGTCACAACCCATAGGTTGAGAACTGCTGATCTACGGCCTGGTGATTTATAGATTTCCTTTGTGTTTAGATTTTTTATTTCTGTCCTTTCAAAATAAAGAGTTATTTCTTAAATAATTTAAAGTAGTTTTCTATATACCTATCAAACCAGAATAATTATAAGTAATTATTATTTTAAATAACTATTTATGGAGAATCATTGGATTTTAAGTAATTAGAAAAATGTGTGCTATATTATTGCTGAATGCTGAGCATGTGTATTCAAAAATTTCAATGTATCCCACCTTATGTTTTAAAATCTTCTCTAACTGCTAGAGGAAATCATTTATCTTCTAATAATGCTATGTAGAATTTTGTATAAGGATTATAAGAACATTTCTTAATTTTTTTATTTGCCCCAAAGAAATTGCTGGGGCTTTTTAAATTTTGAAGTTCGTGATTTCACACTGTTAATCCACTGATAAAGGCCAATGATTTGTGAATAAAATAGAAATAAAGGATGTAATTTTAATTGTTCACAATTGATCCATAATCTCCAATCCAAAGTTAATGATAATATGAATAATCTGTAGTGAACTATAGCTGACTCCACAGTGATTTGTGGGTCACCTAAGACCATCGGAAAACACATAAATATTTCACAATATATAATTACTTACTGTTTTGTGATCAATCACTATGCTTTAATTATGTTCCGTTTGTAACAATGAAAATGCATCCTGTATATCAGAGATTTACATGACAATTTATAACAGGAAAATAACAGTTATGAAATAGCAACAACAATAATGTCATGGTTGGGGGTCACCACCACATGAAGAACTGTAGTAAAGGGTCGCAGGCAGCATTAGGAGGGTTGAGAACCACTGCTCTATAGGGTCACTATAAATTGGATCCAACAGGACGACAGTGGATTTGGTTGATTTGGAGGGCAGGAGGGTAGGGTTGTTTACCCTAGAGGGCTTCAAAAAGTTGCTGGAAAATGAAATTTAAAAGGCATTGAGTTTTTCCACAAAATTTTTGAAACCCTCTCATAAGTTTAGAACTAGTTCCTAATGATTATCAACAGACTGCCTTATTTGATCTGTAAATCAAATACAACTATTTAAACGTGACAATTTATGACTTTTCTTCTCTATATCACCAAGGTTTCTTCCATAGGGACATGAAACCAGAGAACTTGCTTTGTATGGGTCCAGAACTTGTGAAAATAGCTGACTTTGGACTCGCCAGAGAATTAAGGTCCCAGCCACCATATACTGATTATGTATCTACCAGATGGTAAGTAGCTTTATGAAGCTCCCCAAAGGCAGAATAAGGAGCCCCAGTGGCACTTGGCTTAAGCTTTGGGCCACTAAGGGAAAAGTCAAAGTTCAAACCCACCAATTGTTCCCAGGGTGAAAGTTGAAGCTGTCTGCTTCTCTAAAGACAGTCATGGAAATCCTTGGGAGCACTATCCTGAGGGTGTTATCAATCAGAATCTACTTAATGGCAATGGATTGGTTGGTTGGTTTGTTTATTTGGGGAATACTTTGTAGCATACTTATTTCCCCTCTGTGTTCAGGTATCAAGTAGAGCTTATTTCTGTATTTATTCATTTGCACTCCTGTTTTAGGCTGCTTGGACACCTCATTTATATTTTTCTCTAGTCTCTCCACTGGCTTGTTGTCAGGACACACGTGTGTCTTAAGTATCTGGTGCTGCTATAGCAAAAGTACCAGCAGTGGATGGATTTACCAAACAAATTAATTCTCTTACAGCTTAGGAGAATGGAAGTCCAAATTTAGGGTGACAGCTCTGAGGGAAGGTTTTCTCTCTCTGTCAGCTCTGGGAAAGGTGGTCTCCTTTCAGCATTTTCGGACCCAGTGCCCCTTGCAGATCTTCCTGTGTCTGGGTATCAGTCTTTCCCTGGTTCTGAAGGAGGTTATTAGCACAGGGGCCTCGGGTTCAGATGCTGTGCTCTGCTAGAGACACTTCTTTCTGGGTGGTAATCAGGTCCCCACTTCTCTGCTTACTTCTCTTTCCTTTTATTCCCTAAGATAAAAGATGCTGCAGGCCACACCCCAGGGGAACACTCCTTCCATGGGATCAGGCCTGTGGTCTGACTAAAGGTGTGGTATCCCACCCTAGCCCCCTTACAGTTGATTGGCTGATCCCATTAGATCCCTTCATTAGGGTGGTTCCATCATTACATAGTTATGTCAAAGCACTGAGAATCACTGCCCAACCAAGGGACACACATTCTTGACAAACATGGTTCAATTCAGGAGACACCAACAACTAGTACTGATGCACAATACTCACTTCGTTGAAATGCATGAACCTGTTGGACACCTGTTGCCAGTCCATCCTTGAAGTCGGTTTTCTTTTCTGTTTCCCTAGGTATCGTGCACCTGAAGTTTTATTACGGTCGTCGGTTTATAGCTCTCCCATCGATGTGTGGGCTGTTGGGAGTATCATGGCTGAACTGTACACGTTACGACCGCTTTTCCCAGGGACAAGTGAGGTGGATGAAATCTTTAAAATTTGCCAAGTTTTAGGAACTCCCAAAAAGGTGCATACTCTTGCTCCCATGCGGTTTTATTTTCTTTTTTATTTTCTGCTTTAGTTTTATAATTTACTTTAAACATGTCTGACTGGGAATTGGGTGAAGGTCTCCGGAACAGAGCATCAGTTTTACCTTCAGCAGTTCACACACGTTTCATTCCTCTCAGTCACTGCAGTCCTCCCAGTGCAGCATCTGCTGCCTGCCGTGGTGCTCTGCTTCCATTCCTCCCCCTGTCCTAGCCCTTCTGAACTTTATCCTTGCGTCAGTGCTGCCCTTTTGACTTCAAATGGCTGATGATTCCAAGGTCTCCATGCCTAGCTAGTGTGAGGTTCCCGGAATGACCTGTCTCTTGCTTGTTGAGAATTGAGCCACGAGGTGAGCTCAGTTCCAGACGTGAAGGGTTGTTATATAACTTTCCCCCAGTTCTTTGCTGTTTTCATTTTCAAATCAACTTAGGCTTAGAGGTTCATTCTCTCATAATCATTTCATTTTTAACAGGGTGGGGTAAGGATTTTAAGACTTGGATTTCCACCAGGCTGAGAGAAAGAAAATCCTTGTTATTCCTTAATGACTTAAAACACCTAAAATTTAGAGTGTAACTGGATTGATGGCCCATTGCTGACTGTGTAAAAAGACAGTCTTGCATAAGCCCCTTGCTACTTGCTCCTAAAATGTTCTTAGTGATCTTATTAACTCTAGGGATCCTGGACCTTATTTTCTCTTAACTCTTCGTTTCCTTTTATATACCTCTTCTGTATGTATCTGACTCCTTGCGATCTAAGTACAGTTCAATGAACGTTACCTATCAGCTAGCACTTACTTTCTGAGATGTGTCCTTATCAGATACCACACAGGTGTTTCATACCTGGAAATTTAAAACTGTGCTCTATCATTTCCTTCAACATTCCTTCTTAATTATATGATGTTGTTTGCTAATTTATATCTCACACCATATAAATTTTTACCATGAGTAAAAATTTATGTGAATCACCATATAAATTTTTACCATGAGTAATTTTCATCTTATTGCTATCGTCCAAAATTGGTTTCTAACACACACGCCCTTATATATTTCTTGTATAGAGTGACTGGCCAGAAGGGTACCAGCTTGCATCCTCTATGAATTTCCGCTTTCCCCAGTGTGTTCCTATAAACTTAAAAACTCTCATTCCCAATGCCAGTAATGAAGCTATTCAACTCATGACTGATATGTTGAATTGGGACCCAAAGAAACGACCAACGGCAAGCCAGGTAAGACCAGTCTCCCTCTAATACCTGTTTAAACATTATTTTAGCTTTTTTAAGAATTAAGTATTTTTTTCAGTGTGTGTGTGAGATTGAATTGTGTTTCTACCTCCACACATACCCCACACTCACTGAGTGTGTGTCAGTTTGGCTTGGCAATTGTTTATGATGGCATTTGGCAGTTAAGTAAGGATATATTTATCTTCCTGATATAAGCAGGCAGTCAATTATTAGAGGATTAGAGTTGAATGCAATAACTTTAATCAGATTGTAGCCCTGATCTGATGTAAAGGGAGTGTGTTACTCTGGGTGGACTAGAGAAACAAATTCACAAACATTCATGTGTATAAGGAAGACTTTTACATAAAAGAGAAATTGTATATTAACAAAACATCCCAGCCCAGTCCAGATTAAGTCCATAAGTCCAATATTAGCCCATATGTCCAACACCAGTCTTTAAATTCCTCTACAGATTCATACAACACATGCAATGATGCCGAGTGCAGGAAGATCACAGGCCATAGGGTGGAAAGCCTTTGTGGATCCAGAGGTGGTACAAGTATCTTAGCGCTGCCGTGGGTCTCCACGTGGCTCCTCCAGGTCCAGGGCTCTGGCTTCCGTCAGCATAGCTCCATGTGTCTTGCCAGCAGGAATGTCTCGCAGAGAGTGTGTCCCACTTCCAAGGAGGAAGACAGGAGTTCCCAGAATCCTCAGGAGAAGGCTGTGCTCACACAGAGGCCTCATTGGCTGTGGCTTGATTGACAAGCTAGACTCTACCCATTCACAAGTTGACAGGAGATTATGTAACTACCACAGGGAGTTTCACTGGAGTGTGGCTTGCTTCATCTTTTATCCTACAAGTGATACAAGGAGAGAGAAGTGGGCAGAGAAGGCGGGACCTGATGCTCACCAAGAAAGGTGATCCAGGAGTGGAGTGAGTGCATTCTTCACACCAGGGGCTGTGTTGAGAAGCTCTTAAACCAGGGAAAACCAAAACACTCAGATCTCTTAAGAACCGTGGACCCACAGATGGTAAGAGGAGACAAGGATTTGCCCTCGCAGTTAACAGAAAAAGTCTTCCCCGAGAGCTGGCACCTGAATTTGGGCTTAAACTGAAAGAATAAATTTTTGTTGTGAAAGCCATCCACTTGAAAATAAGACAGTGCAGATGTCAGCTACCCTCATGGGAGGACTAAGCATATACATATTGTAAAGCTTGTCGATTTTGATGTTTTCCTTAAAGCTCCAAGCCATGCATCATATGTCGTAAGTTAATTTCTAACTACATACCATTTGGGTAGGATTTCAAAAATTGTCACTTCAATAAGTGTTCTGTGGTTTAAGTGCCAATTCCTGATTGAGAAAGGCTTAATGGATTCATAATGAATGATAGATATTCAGATGTATCAGGCTAGTTAGGAAGAAACATCTTGTAATTTCTATAATATAGTAGACTTTTTTTTGCGTGCTCATTAATGACGGGAGAGATACGCGAATCTTTCATCCTTCCATTTGTTGGTAGTTACTGTTGAGTTGATTCTGATCAGCATTCCAGCAGGTTTTCAGGGTTGGTATCCTTTGGGAGCAGATTGCTACTAAGCCTGTCTTCTGAGGTGCCTCTGAGTGGAATTGAACTGCCAGCCTTTCAGCTAACAGTATAGCACTTAACCTTTCACCAGGGACTCCACAAGAAGGCAGCATTGTCTTGCATTTTGACTACCTTATATAGTCTACAGATATATTTCAAGCTCCGTGGTTATTTAAATGTCATGAGTCTACACCAGAGGCCTAAATAAAAAAGTAATAGAGTATTTTTGTCTTACTATTTTAAAATACAAAATCAGTATTAATTTTTTTCAATTCTGTTTTCATTTGTGAAACTTTTTCCAAAAGCCTGGAAGAACAAATGAGAAAGAATAGTTAAGACATTTGAAAATTCCTCAATATAATTAAAGGTATATGTGAAAAGCCAAAAGCTAACCTTATACTTAATGGAAAAAGACTAAAAACTCTTTCCTTGCAACCAGGAATAAGACAAGGTCCCTGCTGTCAAAATTCTATTCAGAGAAATAGAATTTTTATGAGAAATCCTTGCCAGAGCAATAAGACCAAAAGAAGAAATATGAAGTATTCCACTTGGAAGAGAAAGTAGTAAAGGTGTCTCTATGCAAAAAAGATTTGATCTTACATATTGATAATCTCAAAGAGTTCACAAGATAACTTGTAGAGCTAATAGAGGAATTTAGCAAAGTTTCAGGATACAAAATCAGCAAACAAAAATCAGTTGGGTTTCTATATGTTAGCAGTGATAAATCTGAAAGGGAAGCTAGGGAAACAATTCTGTTTGCCAATAGCATCTAAGAATAAAATAATTAGAAATAAATTTAAGCAGGATTTAAACTATGAAAGCTATCAAACAGATTAAAGACAACTTCAATAAATGGAAAGATGTTCTATGTTCTTGGATTAGAAGACTTCATACTGCTAAGATGTTAATTCTTCTCAATGTAATTCCAATAAAAATTCCACCACCCTTTAAAAGACAGAGGTAGAAAAACAAATCTTTGGTTTTGTATGGAATGATAAGAAGGCCCCACATAACTAAAGCAGTGTTGAAGGAGAAGAACAAAGTAGGACGACCCACACTGCCGGCTTTTAAAATCTGGAAGTTACATTATCACAACAGCCTGGGATGTAGACATATAGACCAGTAGATAACAATTGAGAACCCAGAAGGTGGCTAAGTCCATTCGAGAGGGAAAGAAGAGTCTCTTCAATAAATGATCGCAGGAAAATTGGACTTCTAAATGCAGAGAAATTAAACAGGACACCATGCACAAGTAAATGCAAAGCAGGTTAAGGACTTAAAAGTGTACAAACAAATAAAATGATTAGGAGAATAGGGGCAGTGCTGGCAGGCTTACCCTTCAACAATGGATTGCTTATATAATATAATAGTAAACAGCAAAAGACAAAATAAGTGAGACCTCATAAAACTTTTATTCATCAAAAGACTTTACGCCCCCCACCTCACTCCCCAAAAAAAGAAAAGGCAAGCTACCAGCTGGGAGAATATCTTCATACAGCATATTCATATATCTGACAAGAATCAACCCCAAAATATATAAAACTTCAAAAACCTGATAACATTCATAAAATGGGCAATGGACTTGAGTAAACATTTCACCAAAGAGGACGTTTGGATTGTCACCAAACACATGAGAAGATGATCAGCCTCACTACCTATCCGAAAGTTACAAACCAAACCACGGGAGATACCATTCTTTTTCCCACTAGGAATGTTGGTGATGTAGTTGGTTATGAGTTCGATTACTAACCACAATGTCCGCAGTTGGAGACCACCAGGTGCTCCATGGGGAAAAGATGAGGAATTCTGGAGTGGCTGGTGGGTTTGAACCTTCAACCTGAAGATTAGCAACCTGATGCTTAAGCCCCTGGGCTACTAGGCTTTCTTGAGTTAAGAGTAAGAAGAGAAAATGGAATGTATGACCAGTTGCCTCCAAGAACAATTGCTTCCTTTGCTATAAGACCAGAAGAACTAGATGGTGCCCTGTTACTACTACTGATCATTTTGATTGAAGATTCCAGAGAAGAATCCTGATCAAAAGGGGAAATTCAGAGCAGAATTTCTAATTGTCATGAACGCTAGACTTCCAGGAGCCATGAAGGTTGAATGAACCTCAAAACAGTTACCATGAGATGATCTTTAAACTTAAAATGGAAAACACCCCTTGAAATCATTTTACAAAATCTTTAAATAGAACAATTGCTCAGTGTGGCCATTTATATTACAAGAGAGTTTTCCATTCTTGCCTTATTTACTTTTTAAGTTTTACAAATACAATGTGCTTCTCAAATCATTTTTCTTTAGATAATGCTTAAATCAGATGAAGGAACTTTGATACTTTGTCAATCTTTGCTTGTCTGAACTTGTCTAGGCAAGTGATATTTACCTATCTGGAACCTTATTTGCCATTCCTTGCCATTTTCTTGCTTTTATAGGCTTTGAAACACCCGTATTTCCAAGTTGGCCAAGTATTAGGCGCCTCTTTACATCATCTGGACACCAAACAGGCTTTGAGTAAGCAGTTGAAACCACTGGAACTGACGAAGCCAGCTTTGGTCGAACTTGAACCTAAGCCTCTCTCAGACATAAACGATCTGCCTGTTGAACGGCCCGAGCCCAAGCGTAGCCATCAACCACTGCAGGCCATTCAGCCACAACCCAACTTCAGTGTCCCGCCGCCTGCAGAGCAGCAGAGTCACCAGAGACCGCCACAGACACTCTTTCCAAGCATCCTCAAAAACACGCCCGCTGTAAGTTGCCCGTGACGGCGGCGTTTTGTGTGAAATAACTCATTCAGTCGGGGTTTGTTTCCAGGCAATTCTAAACACATTGGGGAAGACAAGTATTTTTCTATGTTAAAGCCCCTGCTCGCTCTGCGAGCCACTTGACGTGAACTAACTTAAAATTCTGTGACTATTTATAAAAAGAGGGAATGAAAGTCATACATTTAAAGTTTGTACTCAGCAGCGTTTGTTTGTTTTTTTTTAATGCAAGGAGTTCAATGCAGAAAATCAGAGTGTCATACAAAAGAATTAGGAGAACCTTGCCGTTGACTCCCTTTTGACTCTGACTTAGCAAGCCCGTTGTACAATGTAGAACTGCCCCAGGGTTTCCAAGGCTGTAGTCTTTGTGGAAGCAGACTGTTGGTGGATTAGAACTGCTTGCTTCTCAGTCAACAGTCAACTGCTTAATTGTTGTACCACCAAGGTTCCTTGTACTCAAGAATACCTTAAGTGGAATAATTTAAACAGTTATTTTACACTGTTTTAGATGCTGAGAAGCACAGTGGGTCTTTAAATGTCAGACTAAGTATAAAGCTTCCTCTTAGTGCCTGGGTTCACGAGCTGCCTTCTCAAGGTATTTACTCCCAAATGTATTTGGCTCGTGATGTGTTAGGGATAACGAGACCTTACAGGACTGTGTCTGATTCTCCACCCAGTCCTCATTCACTCTGCTATCCAAATATAAGTGAGTCACACCTTCCTTCCCTCCCCAGACAGCACCGGTCATATGCTAATGTGCTATTGATTTTCTCCTTGGTGGGGCATCTTAAGTTTATTGTCAGATTTGTGTTTTGTTTCTCACTAGAATGAAAACTCCGTGAGGATAGATAGCGTGTTTCATCTGTTTGTTTTTTATTGACAGACCCTGAGCCCAAAGCGTTACTTGGCACATAGTAGAATCTCAGTAAATATTTGTTGAATGAATGAGTAGTTTCAACAAATGAGTAATTCAACTATGTGCGAATCAGTTTTGTGCACACAGTACTTCCAGTGTTGTGAAGAGCTATCCCACATCCTCTGTGGGATAGCTAGACTATCAGAGAGTTCTTCCTTTTACTGAGCGAAAACCTATTTTGGTAGCTTTTAATGTTAGAATCCGCTCAAGGTTCCTTGACAGTGTGGACCTCCGAGGCCCTTCAGGGTCCAGCATCAGTCTGGCTTTGCAGCCTGTCCTCCTTTACATCCAGAACAGACCCTCCATTTCAAAAAGCTTCGTCTGGTCCTCCTCCTGGGGACAAACGCTGGCACTTTCTGATGAGAGAGGCTTACCGTTTACATTTCCCCTTCCAGACACTAGAATAATAGCAACAATAATAATATCTACCCTTTTGTTCCTCTGATTATGTACTAATGGGTTTTATGCCCTTGACTGCTAAATTTCAAAACACTGAATTAGATAAATACCTCATATCATTACCTCACGTATCCATTTAAGGATTAGCAAATTAAAGATTTTTTTTCCCTTGGATTCTGTGTGTCGTGAGCTCCCATCCCATTCTATACCTGTGTGCAAGGTCCAGTCTAGTCAGAACTGGGAAGCAGCACTGGGGTCATGGTAGCGGGGGTGAGGAAGCCTCAAGGAACCAGAGGAATATAGTGTGTTTCATGGATGCTTTACTACACCCTGGTGACTCATCCCTTCCCTGTGGCTCCTCTGTGGAGGGATTGGTCAACTGTCCCTCTGTGGAGGGATTGGTCAACTGTCTGCTCCAGCCCATTTTATCGGGGGCTCTTACAGCTCTTATGACATTCCATACATCAGTTGTATCAAGTATATTTGTACACATGCTGCCATCATCATTTTCTAAACATTTACCATCTATTTGAGCTTTTGGTATCAGCTCCTCTTTTTTCCTCCCCCATCCTCGTGACCCCTTGATAAATTAATGCATTATTATTGTTTTCATATCTTTTTTTTCCATTTTTAAATCATTTTATTGGGGGCTCGTACAACTCTTATCACAGCCCATTGTGTGAAGCACAGCAAATTAAAGATTTAAGAAGGTGAATATATATACAGGGTCGCCCTGAGTCGGAATTGACTCAGCGGAAGTGAGTGTGTTTGTTTTGAGTTAAGTTAAAAACTTAGCACCTCATTACTTGTTCTCCCTTTGGACCCATTCTAAATTTGTTCTACTTCTTAATATTTTCTGCTTTGTTTTCGATGAACGTTTTTCTGTTAATTGATTGGCTGCATGTGTTGCTGTATAGGAAATCCAGTGCAGGTACATTCTGTCTAGTTAGATCTGTGGAGACAGTAACTGGGGTCCTAGTTTCTTAGGGTTAACGCTTTCAGTTTTTGAGAGTACTTTACACTCTGCATACGGTTTCAGAGGCTTCTTCCTCCGAAGAACACTGTCTGTTCTTAGTCTGGAAGCTCCGCTGAAACCTGTTCACTTTAGGTGGCCCTGCTGTCATTTGAAATACCAGTGACAACTTCCAGCGTCACAGCAACACATAAGCCACCACGGGATGACACAAAGAGACACGTGGTGGAGGAAGGCCCTCAGTGAGATGGAGTAACTGCATCGGGGGCTCCGGCATAGAAACAATTGTGTCGAGGGCACAGGACTGGGCAGTGTTTGGTTCTGTTGTGCACAGGGTCGCCCTGGGTCGGAACTGCTCAGTGGCACCGCACAGCAGGGCTCTGGAAGGGCAGGTTGAGCGGAAATGGGAGCTAGCAATAATGAGTACAGAAAGAAGAACATGTTCTAAAATTGATTGTGGTGGCATTCGCACACCTCTGTTTAATATGATTAAGCCATTGAATTGTATGATACGGAAATTTTATGTCAATGAAACGCTTTAAAAATACATTTGAAAAACAAAAAGGATGTTGGCTCTCAGAAAAAAGATCTGGAGATGTGCTTCTGAAAGCCCATCCATTGAAAAGCCTGCGCGGAGCCCAGCGGAGCTCTGGCACACAGAGGCTGCCGTGGGCGGGAACTGGCTCAGCAACCCCGAGTTTGAGCTTCGGGTTTGCTGTCAGCTTCACTATTTGGAAGACTCCCTGAGCAGGGAAGCTCTTCGGGTCTTACTAGCATGACCTGTGCACACAGCTCCCTCTACAAGTGAGTCAATGCTATGTTGATGGGTCTTCCTCACAGAAGCCAAGTGGCACCCTGGGCCACAAAAGCACTCGCAGGCGTTGGGGTCAGGCGGTGTTCAAGTCTGGGGACAGCTGGGAAGAGTCTGAAGAGTACAATTTTGGAGCCTCCCATTCCAAGAAACCAAGCATGGGCGTTTTCAAAGAAAAGAGGAAAAAAGATTATCCGTTTCGGTAAGATTTCAAATTCATCAGGAAGTAAGTTTTTATCATGCACCATCTTTACTCATTGAATATAAATGCCATTTATTACTGCTTTCTTCCACAATCTCAAGTCCCTTTACGTACCTCTGAAAAGATAGGAATCCCAACTTCTCCCAGTAACACTTCTCAGTGTTAATGGATGAGGGTTATGTTTGTAGGGGTGGCGGGTTCTTGTTGAATCTTGTGGAACTGTAAATTACAGTCATCACCATTCCCATGTACAATCTGGATGACTGTTTGCAGATGCTAGACCCCAGCTTATAAAGTTAATGGTGTCTTCTCATGGTGTTCAGATTTAGTTATCAGTTTGTTGCTATTCTGAACTTTTGGGATCATTTTCTGATTTTCTTCCTAGGTGTTTAAATATGTCCAGTGTGCCTTTTGTTTCATGAGTGGGGTCATCCTTAGTGCATTATTCGACCTTGAAGTGAGGATGGACTACATTTTGGAAAGAGAACATTGAATTTGTTTCCCCTTTGTCATAGAAGAGTAGGGGGAGGAATTTTGGCACGAGGAAATTCCCTAACAGCCGTTTGCCTTGCATAGGACAAACTTTGGTGTTGGGGTACACATACCCTTCCTGCAGAGGAAGAGGCTCTAAGAATTGCATAGTCTTGGATTATGTTTACCCAGACAGTTTCCAGATCAGATCCTCAAGTTCCCTAGATACTCTTCCTTCACATTACAAATTTGGCAATAAACCTGCTTAATCCTCCTACTTTGCTCAAGAAAGTCAACCCTTTCATCATTTCAAATCTCACCCTGCACAGGGTGTAACCGCTTGCAGACTGTCTCCAAAGGAAGAACTGTTATCTTCCACTAAAAAGACTTTCTGCCTTTCCTTGTCTTGTGCCTATTACACCTGTATTATTAATTGATTCCCCTTGAGATGTAACAGAATATTCTGTGGGACTATCTGGTTTTCTAAATCCAGGCATAAAAATGTGCATGCTTTCTCAAGGGACTGTCACGAGTGGACTCAATAGCTGCTGGTTGGTTTGAACTAGCCCTCCAGGTGCTTAGCCACAGGCTACATCTGTGCAGCCCACTTCAGAATAGATGCGTCTCAACAAAAACTGATTTTCTAAGTATGTCACTAGCCCCAAACACCAAAAACCAGACAAAACCAAGAACAAACCTAGCCCATTGTCATTGAGTCGATTCCAGCTCATAGCGACCCTATAAAGGGTTTGGGGGACTGTAAATCTTTATGGGAGTAGGTAGCCTCATCTTTCTCTTGAGGAGTGGCTGGTGAGTTTGAATCACTGACCTTGCAGTTGGGAATCCATCCCCTAACCTACAATGCTACCAGGGCTCTTCAGCCCCAAACCCCTGATTATAAATTACTTGAGTTGACCGCTAAAGAGGCCTCTGATGGTCTTCCCTTCCAGTGTACCATCTTCCCACATTGTAAACCCATCCCCAACTCTAGGTGTTGTAGGTAAGTTGCCAGCATATTTACACAGTCTGTGCTGTTGTTGAACTTTTCTGCTACAGCACCTAGGATTAACAATTATTTTATGTGCTGCCTACTATGAACCGAAAGGAAAAGTCAGCACTCCTTGTCAGCAAACGGAATCTGACTGACTGGTTTGAAAAGGACTGCAGAGGGTGGGTGAGAACCTAGGAGCATGCATGTTGTGATAGAAGCTTCTGTTGACTTTGCAGGCTTCCCGAGTCTATACCCCCAGACGCCAACCACTTAGCAGAGGAGACCAAAAACTTACCTCCCGCTGTTTCCTTAAAATCTGATTCTGAATTATCAACTGCTTCAACAGCTAAGCAGTACTATTTGAAACAATCGAGATACCTTCCAGGTAAGTAGAGAAAGTAAAGGTGTGTGCTGCTAACTAAAATATGGTCAGGTCAAACCCAAGCATCTTCAGCTCTTTGATGAAAGGGCACCAAAGGAACACAGAGTACAACCACAGTTCGAATCGGTGGCTTCAGCCTGTCGCCAAGCACTGTTCTGAACCACCTGCCCCTGCCATCTGTTGGAATTCACACAAGAAACACACATATTTCTTGATGAATATGCTTTGAAAAATAATCGTGTCACTTCTGCCCCCTAAAGCTACAGTAGGAGACTAGATTTTGTTTAAAAAACCGGTGGTGGTTTTTTTTTTTCTTGCTTTTTTGGGAATTAATTTTATTCTTTTTTTTTTTTAAGATACCATATATATTTGTGTATAAGCCGAGTTTTCCAGCACATTTTTAATGCAGTTTTTGTGGTAAAATTAGGTACTTCGGCTGATATTCGGGTCGGCTTATACTCAAATGTATACGGTAGTCGGAGAAAGATGAGGCTATCTGTTCCCAAAAGGCCGCACAGCTTCAGTGCCCTGTATAGGGTCGCTTCCTGTGAGTCCGCGGCAACTTGATGACAGTGGGTTTTTGGTTGAATTAAAAATCACACTATCCTGCACACCCATTTGCAACGTTTTACACAGTGCAGTTTTTACTCTTGCTTAAAATGATGCGATTAATCTTTTTAAAAGCTCATTCTGGCTATTGGGCAGAGCATGCTAGGGGCTCGGAGGGTCTCTCGGACATGGTTAATGGTCACTGCTGATTCTCAGACGGGAGGGTAATGGCTTGTCCCAGCGTAATAGAATGGGGATAGAGGTGGATAAACTCTAGAGCTAGTTTGGTGATGGAACCAGCAGGATGTTGCAGGTTGGTGTGATTGGTCCAGAAAGAAAGGAAAGAATTATTACTGGCTTCTGAGTTTTGAGCCTGGTTGGTGTAGTGGTTACACATTGGGCTGGTAACCAGAAGGTCAGCAGTTCAAAACCACCAGCCACTCCGAGGGAGAATGGTGAGGTTTTCCACTTCCGGAAAGAATTGCAGCTTCAGAAATCCACAGGCAGTTCTATCCTGCCCTATAGGGTCGCTATGAGTCAGCATGACAACGACTTTAGTTTTGTGGGATTTATTCTTTTTTTGGGTTTCTGGGTTCTTGACTTGGAAACTGGGAATGCAGTCCTGTTAACTGATAGGTAGAATATAAGGTGAGGAGAGGATCGTGGAGGTAGAGCATGAATTTGGGATGGTGGTGCAGTGAGTCGAAACGTTGGGCTGCTAACTGAAAAGTCAGCAGTTTGAACCCACCAACCACTTCATGGGCGAAAGACGAGGCTGTCTGCCTCCAAGAAGATTTGTAGTTGTAGAAGCCCTATGAAGCAGTTCTGCTATGAGTAGGATTGGACTTGGCGGTGGTGAGTTTGATTTATGAAACATCCAAGTTGTTGTAGCTGGTGGGTGGTTAGAAACCTTAACATGGAGATTGGGAAATAGATCTTGACTGATGGAGGGGGTTCTGATGTGTCTTCAAATAGCATTTTGGGTCTAAATCCAGTGTGAAGACGCATTTTTAAAGTTCAAACAAATCACTTTTTAATATCACGGTGTATCTCCCTATAGAACTATGTCTCTAGTCTAATAAAAGGAGGTGACCTTGTTCTTCTGTGTTCTTATCGGGACGACCATTTCTAGCTTTTCAAATGCAGCCAGCAGGCTCCTGGGTTCATCTGAGTTGCCGTTCACACCTAAGTCTCCTGAAGTCAGCCATAGCCCTTACTGTCTCAGATGCTGGCCAGGGAGAAGGGGGAGGGAGGACAAGAGAAAAGGTTGAGGCTGGCTTGCTAGCAGCAACAGATTCAAGCTTAACAAGCTTTCTTGTGCATGTTGTAGGCAATCATAAGTTTCAGTTCCACAAATCCAATAGGGATCCCCTCCGATTGCCAACAACTAGAGAAAGGGGAAAAATGGAAATGAGCCAAAAGGGTAGAGATGGAGGGATGGAAAGCCAAAGGCATAGTGGGTATTGTAGGTTAAGTAAGTGGAAGTGAATTTACGGAAGCATGCTTGGTGGGAGGGGGAATTGGGGGAGGGGTCAGGGCACAGTGCTGTATTGATTGGTGAAGAAGAAGCTGAATTATGTCCAAGAGGTGGGGAGGGAGGGATGGGTATGGAGGCTTCAAGGGCAGAGTTAAAATTATGTACTTCGGAGAGATTGTTGAGCAACAATTGCGAAGATCTAATGGATTAAATAATTTTCCTTTTTTTCATTTTAAGCAAATTGTTTAGTATCTGTGACGCCAGGATGAGCCTTGGGAAGAAGATATGAAAAACCCGTGTTGTAAGATTGGAAACCTTTGTACATCTTGATAGAGAAAGAGTTGGGGGCCGGGAGATGCTATTTTATGAGTAGCCATATACGAAGTGAACGTACAGGAGTGTCCTCAGAAAGCTAGAGACCGAGAGCTTAACTCTTATGAGCAAAGGATGGGGATTAGAAATTTTACTACACAGCAACTTTTTCCAAATAGAAAATGTAAACTGGGCATTTTCTATCATTCTAATTTTTTTAATGGAATTATTTTATGAGTTTTTAGAAATCTATTCTTGATCTCAAAGCCCCAGTTCTTTTTTTCTAGCCACTCCATGGGAGAAAGATGTGGCGGTGTGTATCTGTAATGATTTACTGCCTTGGACAGTTCTATCCTATAGTGCTGCTGTGAGTCGCAATCAATTCGACAACAGTAGGTTTGATATTTGGGTGGGGGAGGGGGTGTAGGGGGAGTATTCTTTCTCATATGGTCAAAATTTCACAGCTGTGACCATTAGTTTAATTTGAGGAAAACTTTGTGCTGTTAAACTTAGATTCTTAAAAATGGGGAGTAATATTTTCCCAAGTTGGTCTCATTTGGGGTCCAGGGCATTCTCATATTATGGACATACTTCTTTGCCAGCAGACAGGAAAAACGCTAGTACTCATTAGGCAGCTTCCTCTTAGATGCCTGTGGGAACCTGGGAAAATCAGGGCTCTGCTCTCCAATTCAACTTACTCGTAATTTGCCAGTCAGGGCTTTCTGGAGGGACAACATCTAAAGAGTAGGCCAAAATGCGCCTCTCCAAGCTCCCTGAGGCTGGATACAGATTTATTATTTAACCACACATTACAAATCAGGCCGTTGTTACTGATTGGATTCTGACTCAGCAATCCTACCTCCCTCTGGTTTTCTAAGTCCGCAGTGTTTATGGAAGCCGATTGCCACATTTTTACCCCCTATGGAATGGCTGGTGAGTCTCAACCAGCAACCTTTTGCTTAATAGCCAAGCACATAGCCACTCTTCCGTAAGGCATCTTTATCCTATCAAAAAGATATGATCGTGCCTCTTGGACAATTTCAGCATTCCCTGACTTCTGCCACTACCTGGGTGGCACCCCACCTTTTGATAGCACATCTTGGAAATCCCTGTTTCCTTCAGCATGGCATTTCTCATTTGGAAAGCTTGTTACTTGTGCTCTGCATTGTCAACAAGGAAGAGGCCGGTCCTACCCACACAGATCCCCGGAGCTCCACTCCCCTGCCTTTGAGAGGATTCCGAGTTACAGCACCCCTATGAGACAGAGTAGAACTGCTCGGTGGGGTTTCCAAGACTGGCCTTGTCAGGGGAGCTGACAACCTCAACGTTCTCTTAGGGGGAGCTGGTGGGTTCAAACTGCCAACATTGTGATTAACAGCCTAGCACTTAACCCACTGTGCCACCAAGGCTCCTTTGAGTGTGAAGGCACAGAGGAGAGGGAGGGTGCAGCTCTACCTAGAGGGGGTGGAACCATCTTTATGTAAGAGGGCAGGGAGCTGGGCCTCAGAGTGAGTGCAGAAAAGGGGGAAAACATTCTAGGCTGTGTGGGTACTCTGAACCTACATGTCTGGACCCACTTGGTAGATACATTCATATTATTCATTCACTCAATAACATGTATCAAATATGACCCAGGAACTTAACTGTCCTAATTCTTGTATATATAACATTTGTCTGATTACCCAGTGCTTCTGTAACACACATATCACAAATATGTGCCTTTAAAGAACAGAAATTCATTGCTCTAAAGACCAGGCACTAAAGGATCTCCCCTTGTCAGTGGCCCTAGTTCCGTGGCTGTAGAAGGTGCCTCACCTGAGCTCTACCCACCCCCCTGTATATCTGTATCTAATTTCCCTTTGATATTAGCCATCCCTCAGAAGAGATTTGGTTTAGCACCCACCGCCCCTACTCGGTCTGACTTTATGAACATAACAAAAGAAAGCCCAAACAGAGTCACAGGCATAGGAGGTAGGAGTTGAGCTGGTGTTTTGCCCAGTAGGCATTATCAACAATAACAAAAATGGCCCAGGCTCCCCAGGAGTTTATAACCTTGTGGAGAGAGGAGAAACAAGAACATTAACAGGTAGCGATAAGCAGCTCATGAAAAGGGAGGGAGGAGAAAGTAGGAATGGTTTCCAGGGAATGTCTCCTCGATTAGGTGACACCTGCACTGATACCGCCAAGGTGTGAAGAAAGCCATCAGGAGGAGGGGTGTTTCAGGTCGCCGCCGCCACCGTTGTGGTGCAGTCAATTCCAGCTCCTGGCGGCCCTGGGGGGCACACACACCTGCCCCCTGGAGTGCCTCTGCTGGCCTCTTCATGAAAGCAAACCGCCACAGCTTTCTCCCTTGGGGGGGTGGCGCTGGCCCACCATGCCACCAGGCTGTCTCGTGTTCCAGGCAGAGATGCAAGAACTACACCACAGCACGGGCAGCTGTGGCGCAGGGAAGGCAGGAAGTCGTCAGCATTCAGATTAGGTAGCACCTTTAGGCCATCAGGGATCATTCGGATTTGGTTCCTGGTCCAGGCGAAACCTTTGGAAGGGTTTGGGGTTTTATGCAGTCAAAAGGACCCCTGGCTGCTGTGTGGAGAGTGTTTACATAAGGGCAGGGGGAAGCCAGGATGGGAGCCACCGCACTCAGCCAGGGTAAAGAATGTGGTTT